GACAGGACGTTTACTTGGCACACATTACACACACACACACAGAAAAAAAGCTAAATATGATATATTAATTGTAAAAACCCACGTTTTGCTAGTGCCATTTTCATATTTCACACAATTCGAAGTGCAAAGCGCTATTTTTACTTACATTTTTACCGAGATCACGCCGCCAGCATAGCCGGCGGCACAGATAGCTTCGCCCATGCAACGATAATTTTATATGTTCTTTCACTTCACGATAAAAACAAATTAAGCCCGGATTTGTGAAAATTTAATTTTGTCAATGTTTTTGCTGATTTTTTTCCCGCAGCGCCGCGTTAGTGTTGTCGACCGTGTGACCGACCCTCAGAAATATACCGTCTCCTTTTAAAAATATACCGTAAATATACTGACCAACTCAAGTTCTATTACACATATTCCTAGTTTTTGATATTCCGTCGAATATTAATAGCTAGATAGAATATTTAGCCCTGCCCACACAATTTTAGGCCGTTGATGAATCAATTTTCTTCAAGATTGGTTAGTTTTTAGTCCTTGCTTTTATTGCATTTTGACTAAAACAAGGCTTAAACAAAATAGTTCAACAAAAAAAACAGTGGTAATGTTGCTAGTATTTGAAGACATGATGCGCGCATAGGTCTTTGTATACCCTATTTCGCTCATTTTATATAAAGATTAAACGTAATTTATAAAGACCTTTTCTCAAAATGATATGTTTTAGACATATTCATGTATATTATTAGTATCTTGTATATATTTATCTCGATCCTGATACCTACAGAGCCTTTGATGACAAACATTTTCTCAATTCTATAACATCCTTTTCGCTAGGGTATGACAATTAATGTTGCCAGTAATCATTGTTGTTAACCGGTTATGACGACTAATTCTTGGCTATTCTTTCTTCCGTCGAATATTCCCAGCTATATAGATCTCTTAGCCCTGCCCACATAGTTTAAACAGTTAATGAACCTATTTTCTAGTTGATTGGCTTATTTTAAATACTTGACTTATTTTTCTGCTACGGCGATTGCTTTGATTGTTTTTGCCTTCATTTTGGTTTCTTAGCATGAAGAAACAAACTTGACCCACTCAATTTTAAATTTGAGGTAAATGGCGAAAAATATTACCGATATTAAATTCTTCTTGTAGAGCCATGCCATCTTTCATCTGAAATTAAGAAAAAACACTATATCTTTAACCTGAACTGCGCTAAAATGATCAAATTTGCATTATTTTCAGTGGAATATTAAAAAACCCCTTGTTTTACAATGGGTTAATCGTTCTCCTTCAAGGATTGGAAACCATATTCCTCAATTTGTATATTCAATTTGATCTAAGCTAAAGCCGGGAGTGGGGATACAGGATCTGCAACCTTATTAAACCTGATACTCAAACAGAGTATAGCGGGATATCAGATTTCCCGAAGGAAGCGTTTCTGACCACAAAAGGTACATAAATTCTCGATCAGCACCAATAGCCGAGTCGGTTGAGCCATTTCTGTCCGTCAGTCCCCATGAGCGCCTAGTGCTCAGAGACTCTAAGAGCTAGAGCAACAAGTTTTTGAATCCAGATATATTTTTAAAGCGGAAATAGTCGGCTAATACGACGAACCTATTTAAAGAAAATGTATTACAGTGTATTAAGTGTTATGTTGTTGTTTTTCGCAACAAAGTCTGTACTTTTTACAACAGTATGGCAACTCTCCTCAACAGCTGTTCGTTTTCCAGCACACTGGCAGCTCCATCCATTGGACAGCAAAATCTACGTGGAGCAAAGTGATTTTCGAAATTATGGCAAATAAACTAGAAAAGCATGAGGAGGCGTCTAACGATTGGAATCAGAGTGATGAAGACGACAATTGGGATGACTGGGGCGATGACGATGATAAGTTTGTTCACGTGGAGAAGGAGCAACAGCAGGAAAGCACTGACGACAGAAACAACGCAAAAGGAAAAGAGGAGAAACCACTGGAGCAGCTAACATCACAGGCGGAAACCACAGTTCCAGCTCCAGAACTTTCCTCATCTTCCTCGTGGGGCCTGTGGGGAGGAAAACTGAGCTCTGTCCTCAACACGGCCACCGAGGGATTGGGCAATATAACCACACAAGTGAATCAGGGCTTGAGTCAGATTATAGGTGTACCTGATCCAGAGGAGCTGGCACGTTTGAATGCCGCAGAAAAGGCCAAAGAGGAGACGACCGTCGTCAGTCCCAAAGAAACACCATCAGCGACACCAGTCGATCCCAATCAGGAGAATGCATTTGGTCTGGGTTTCGTCACGAATCTGGGTTCCAAAGTCCTAAACACGGGACTGGACACCCTCGAGGGCATTGGCAAGAAGACCATGACCATACTGCAGGACAACGATCCCAAGTTGATGAACAAAAGGAAGCTTCTGGGTCTCGAGGCGAACAAACCCAATTTGAGTGCATTGCTGCTGGAGGCCAAAAAGGATGCGGATCAAATGGAGGAATCGCTGATGCAGCTCCAGTTGGAAAAGAAAAAGGCGCAACTACGCTTTGAGATTCTCTTCGAGAACTACTGCGGTCTGGTGCACTACGAGGCATTGGAAATCTTATCCAAAGAGTCGCGCCTGAAGCTGGACACGCTCTTGGATGCGGTCAGTGGAAATGCCCTGGCCGATCTGCAAGAGACCATCAACGAGGTGAAGGAACTGCTGGAACTGGAGGATCTGGAGTGCGACAGCGAAGGCGACTATAAGCCCGAGGAGCTGGGCGAACGTCTGTCGGCTACCATAGCAGACGCCGAACTGGGGATTCAATTTGAAGAGGTGGCAAAGTGAGTATCTGCCTGTCCTCGAGGAAAAGCTTTCAATAAACTCTTTTTTCCAGCCACTGGAAGCAGTCACTCACTTGGTTAAAGTCGGAAGAGGCCACCACATCAGATCTGGAGCAGGCCTATGCCAAGAGCATACACGCCCTGAGCGAAGCCTGTGCCTTGGAAATGTGTAAGCTGCACAAGATTGCCGAACTGCTGCTGGTGAAGCAGCATCACAGCACCGCCAATGAGGTCGACGGCATTGTCAATCTCTGCAAGCAATGCAATGGCCATCTCCAGGGTCTCAGCCATCGCTATGCGGCATTACTCAGCAGCAAGGGTTCTTCTTCCCCCGACACTGCAGAGGAGTCCAAGGAGAGGGTCAACACATTCTTTGCCGAAATGTTTGCCGCCGTGCAATACGTCGAGCAGGCCTACAAGCTTTTTACGCCCATTTTGCAAATGGGGGCGGTCTAGCGGGAGATTCTGATTGTTCTGATCTATGAATTTTATATTTGTTGTAACTCATACAATTATTTATATGATTGTTTCGTTAATCTCTCTGTAAGTCTTATTTGTTTTCCATAAATTACTATAAATGTACACAAATTTTGAATCTATGCAGATTATTGTGATAACACATTCCAAGACGACACATTTTGAAGAGTTTGTTTTTAGAAATGATGTATGTATTATGGTAGATCTAAGAAAGAAAGGAATATGTTCCCCTTCATATTACATTCCCCTGTCACAGATCACACTTTTTCAACATCATGAATGCTATGACAATTTTCAAACAAACAACAGATCCGATACCCATCTGAAAACTTACAATTCATTACAATTCAAACAAACAACCGATCGGTTCTGTTTCCAAACAAAAATCAACGTTTTTTTCGAGCTCTAAAAATTGTATTCCAACAATGGCTAATCGCCAAAAGCGAATAGTTATCCTATTGAAGGGCCACACCGCGGACTATGATCGGAGCCAGGCAATGCGTCAGAGTAATTTAAGTCCCATTTACATACCCCCATCGCAGATTGTGATGAAGAACCTGGACTTGCTGAAGGCCAAACTTGAGGCGCCGCACAGATATGCCGGAATTATCTTCCCCGGACCGCGCAGTGTCCAGGCCGTGTACGAGGCACTGGGCAATAATGGTGCGATGCCAAATTGCTGGCGTGCCTTGCATAACTATGCCTTGGGCGCAAGTACCCATAGCAGGGCATACATGACTCTACGAAAGTTTCCGACGCTTGGAGATCGTGTGGTGAGTGCCCACAACCTGTGCGACCTGATTGTGGAGACCATTGGACCGAAGAGAGACTTGCCATTGCTCCTGCCTTACGGGAATGAGGCCGGCAATACGCTGCGTATCCGACTGGTGGCTCAGGGGTTTCGTGTGGATTCTTGTGAAGTGTACGAGAATCAAATCCATCCGAATTTTACAAACGACATGAAAAAGGTGCTCAAGGCCAAACAATTGGAGACCATAGTGTTTCACAGTCTGGCCAGCGTGAGGAGTGCATCGGAGTTTTTCAGCAAATATAAGGTTTCTGTGAACGATCGCAAACTTATTGCTGTGGGAGCTGCTGCCCAAAAGGCCATGGAGGAGGCAAAACTTCCTGTGAGCGCTGTGGTGAACTCCTATAGCGTAGATCAGTTGATAAAAGCCATCAAACAATAATTCAGATGGGAAACTGTTGCCATATTTCATTAAAATTTTAATTGTTTCCATTTCTGGTATATGCACGAATGTAATCGAAATTTTGTTAATGTATCAAGGAAAGACATCGCCAAAACGCATAAATTATAATCCAAAGGGATAAACACTTAAATTTATCGTTATATTTGAAATGCGGATTTGGTTGGTCATTTTAGAATCGTATGGTAACACTGTTATTAACCCTTATGGTGTGTTATTCTAGTATTACTATTATTACAACAGTAAATAAGATAATTGTGCTTATGCGCTTGCTCTACTTTTTACTTATTTAATTTGAATGATTAACTTGCAGCAAATACGTCATGACGAACATAGTTTCCCCAAGCATTTCTGATCAATTATCTCCGTAGGCATACGTCAGAGTGAATAGAGAACTGCTGCCCCCCGAAGGGTTAAAATTGATAGAGCTGCCACCGCCGGTCACTATGGCATCGCACTATAATTCGTTCGTAGTAAGTTATATATTTTTGTCGCTGCTGACATTTCAAGTCAGCATTTGCTTATCCCAAATCCAAATATATTCGAACGAAACAACCATGGCAGCATCTGCAAGCGCCAAACCGCTGTTTGCCTGCAATTTTGAGGTGTTTGGACGCGTACAAGGTATTTCTGGCGACCTGGTTTCACCAGATATCCGCCTGGCCATGATCTAATTCGTTTCTCTTGCCATTTCAGGTGTTTTCTTCCGCAAGGTAAGTGATGAATGGTTTAACTGGCCGATTGACTGATCAGCGGGGTCACTATCACCTAATCTAGCACACGGAGCGCCAGGCAAACAGCCTGGGCGTAAGAGGTTGGTGCATGAACACCAGAGAGGGCACTGTTAAGGGACAATTGGAGGCACCCCTTCCCCAGCTGAACGAAATGTAATGCAGGTTTTTGGATTAGTATTACCAGTCTGATGCTAACTATAGTGTCCCGACACCAATTGTTTTCAGGAAACATTGGCTAGAGACCAAAGGGAGTCCCTCGTCCAGTATCGAAAAGGCAACATTTACGGCGGCCAAGGAAATTCCCGAATATACTTTCAGTGGCTTTTCCATCAAGCGCTAGATCCCAGAACACTTTTCAAGCTAAACACTTCATTTATATTCGGTTTATTTAGAGTTCCTTAAACTATATACATATGTGTTGTGGGTGCATCGACCACCTCTCCTATCCTCCATCCAGTAGACACAATTTCAAAATGTACAGCATATAACGGCCTCTCTCGTCGCCCAGAAGTGCTTCAGCACAAAGCTGCAATTTCAGTCATTCAGTTCAAATCGGCGTCTGAAAAAAATTAACAATATTATTGTAACAAAACAAACCAAATACAAATCGAGAGACACCGCCACAGGGTTGCCTTTAAAGTAGTTAAATAGTTAGCGTTGCCACATGCCAAAAAGTACCGATAGGTATTTAATTCAAACGACATCTCGCTCGCACGCACGAAACTACTCGTACGCATTTTCAATTGCCGCGGCATAGGTGTGAGCGGGACAACCGGTTGTTTGGCATGCGTACTTTGCTCTGCCAGGGCATAAACGAGTACAGCTTCGATACACGTCGTTTGGCAAAAAGCGTATCAGCCAGCGATGAAAAAAAATAAATGAGGAAAAAATTGTGCGAAGTGAGAACATTGAGACGAAGTCCATGCCATTGTGTAAGACGAAAAAAATTAACAATTGTGTGTACATCGTGCAAAACGGTTAGATTGTGCGTACAACCAAAAATACTACATAAATTTTAAGCAATTTACAAATTCTTGCGTGCTTCTGCTTCCATTGGTGAATGTGTCTGTGTGCCTGTGTGAGTACTTCGACAATACTTTCGCGCTGAAAACGTTTTTCTACTCCCTTTTTTTTCCGCTCGATTCTAATCGTCCCAAACAGCAACAAATGAAAAAGATTACAACTAATTAAGCATTTGTAGGGCATTTCGTGATAGTGAGATGTATAAAAAAATGCGATTGTGTAAATAACTGAAAATAGTGGAACATTGCTAGACCCGCACCCACACACATAAGCGCGAACACTCTTTGTATTTGTTTGCGTGTGCATGCATATTTTTGAGTCTTCGTATGTGTGTGTGTGTTGTAAAGGCGCGAGGTGCTGTTTGCCCACTAATTGTGGATCAAAAAAAATTCAATAAAAGAAATTATATAAAAACATGGAAGCCGAACAGCATCGCCCAGCACCATGCGCAGAAACAGAATGCATCTGCTAATACGTTTCTCAAGCATGATGTAAAGTTGAAGGAAAATTGTGATTTTCATCTAGGGAGCAAAACGATTCCGTCAGTATGCAAAGATGTGTGTTCGTCTGTCTTCTATACAGTCTTTTTTTATTGCGCATCATTGTGAATGAGCAATAGCAGCAATAGCGCGCATTCTGCCAGGCCTGCTGTGTCCGCACGCTCGCGCGCTCAGTCTCTCTCTCTATCTCTCTCTCTCTCTCTTGGAGTATTTGTTCTCTCACTATCCGTATGTGTGTGTGTGGCCCTAGAGTGGTGTGAGTATTTTGTACATAACACGCCGGAAAAGACACTTTTTATTCCCATAAGAGCTGGATTGAGATAATAAAAATATTTGGTATATATCAAACAAATGCAAGCGGCTTTTGGTTTAAAAGAGTAAAAGAGTGGGATTTGATATGACATAAAGTTAACGCAGTATGCTCTGTCAGTTCATATGCATGTGTGTATTCGGTGTGTATGTGATTTGTTGTGCATGTATTTGTGAGCTGCCAAGCGAAGAGAACGAAAAGTGTGCTCTGCATTTTCCATACAAATATTTAATTTTCAAAATCATTTTGGATAAAATAATATTATTTGTATTGCGTCCAAAAGCGAGTTGTCGTCGAATCGGAACGTACCTTCAACGGAAGATCCGGTAGAAAATTGAAAGGGAAAAGCGAATCAGGAATCGGCGTGCGAGCCCCTTGGCTACCATTGGAGCTCCACTCGGGACGTGTGGAACCGATGCGAATGCATCACCATCACCAGGAAAAGCAGCAGGAGCAGGAGAAACAGAACTGGCCAACGGCATCGAAACTACTATGGCACCAGCGCTCACAGCCGAGCCATTAAGTACCAAGGAGAAGCTAACCAGCGCAGCATCGCCTTCGGTGGTGGTGAAGAAACCAGCGACACCAACGCCGGCAACGGCCACAACGCGTGTGACGCGTTCCTCCAAGGAGGCGGCCGCCTCAGCAGCAGCGGCAGCTGCCAAAGCTGCGGCTGTAGTCATCCCGCAACGCGTTCCATCGAGCAGAATCAGCAACAACAAGCGTAAATTAAGCGTCGGCAACAACAGCAGCAGCAACAAGCAACAAAATAATGATCCAATGGGCCTAAGCACAGCTCCTACCCCACACACAACAACAACAACAACGACCACTGGATCGGGGGTCGCAGAAGCCGAAGCCGAAGCAGCAACAGGAGGAGGCGTACCACCCATCGTTGACGCCGCTGTGGCATCAACCAGTGCTACGGGGCTCCTTGAAAGTCAATCGCCTGCTCTCCCACAAAGCGATACCGAAAGCACTGACGTGCCTTCTGTAACGCCTACCATCGAGAACAACAACAACAACAACAATAGTGGTCGTAGTCCAAGGAAGGACAATTCCACGGTACAGCTGCTGGCAGGTCTGACCAGCAACTTTGAGGAGACGATCTCGGCTGAGATCTGTCTGCGCAAGACCCTACCCGAAGTGAGTCTCAGCAAGGAGCCAGCAGCACCATCCGCTGTGGCAGAAACTGTAGTTGTAGCAGAAGTTGAAGCAGAGGTAGTAGTCGTAGGGGAATCCACAACGGGTGAGCCACAAATCGATCTGCTTGAGCCGATGGAATTGGAGCAACCAGCGACGACGACGTCGGCGCCATTAGAGGAGTTGCCAAAGATCGCAACGGATGATATAGAGGGTAAGTTAGAGAACGGAAAGACGACAGAGAGCACTTTCCATTCATACTCTCTTCTACTCCATCTCTTCGATTTTCACAGAGCGCCTCAGCCAGTTGGATGGCAATGCTAGTGCCATTTTGCCTGCAGTGAAGGAGCAAGAGCCGGTGCAGGAGCAGGTGGATGTGGAAATGGTCGATGTGGTGGATGTGGTGGAAATGGTGGTTCCAACAACTCCCACAACGCCCAGCCGGCAACAGGTGCAACAGGATCCAAGATCCGAGTCATTGCCCGGTAGCCTGGCCTCGCCGCTGCCGGGCCAGAGGCAATCCACAGCATTGAATGCATCACAGTTGACGCCTCAAAGTACTTCCAGTTCCACAAATTTTCTCAAAGATGCAGGAGGCGGCGAGGGGCTGGAGGACACCGACATCGAGGAGGTCCTCAAGGCGCTCAAAACCTTTGAGGGCAATCACGTCATCAATTCGGACATTAATCCGGACATGTGTGATTTCAATTTCTTCAACGAGGTGTGGGAGGAGCAGCCGTCAGCGACAGCTTCGGCCCCTCACCCATCCGTAACTCCACAGTATCAGAATCCCATTGGCGGCACCATCGGCAGCAGCAGCAGCACCCCTCATGTCCTACCAGCAGAATCCATGGCGGAGGGTCAAAAATCAATAGAGCAGCAGCAACAAATTCTCACGCGAAAGATCGACCATCTGTTCCGGCGAATGCGGAAGTTCCAGGCGCGCTATATGTGCAGTCACACCAGCGAGGAGGTGGCTGGGATTATGGAATGGGCGGCACGCACCTCCCACAAGACCCCGAATCCTGTGAGAAGTGATACGCTCAGCGAGCAGGAGACCACCGTGCTGTCGATCGTCTCCGGGCGACCGAAGCCCGACTTTTGGGAAGACCAAAAGAAGCATCCCGTGCCAGCCACCCAGATGGGCAGCCTCCTTCGTAGCATCGAAACGGCTGCACGGCACCAGCAGATCTGTCATACGCCCAGCGGCAGTTCCGCCACATTGGCCCCATCCTCGACATGGTACAACAGTGCCGGCAGCACTGCAGCAGTGCCTGCCAAGGTACGTCGTGGCAAGAACCTGCTGGATACATCAGCAGCCGCCACTTCAACAGCAGCATCGTCGGCCGCGGCCATCGAACAGAAAGCGCCCGGTTTGCATGAGATTATACCCTGCTTTGACACACATATAACCAACGAGCTGACCCACGTCTCTGGGCTGCTGCACAATGAGATGCGGGAGATACAGAACGCCCTCGATTCGGATGCAACAGAGTCCAGCTCTGGCGGCGAGTCTGCCGACGAGATGGTCATCTACAACAACACCCATCAGAAGCCGCTGACGATGTAAGTAATTCCTCCTTTCCTTCCATGTTCGCTGTGGGAGATATTCCCACTTTAAAAATAGTTTCAATTATGAATTTTTCAATTTTGTTTGTCAGACTTTTTTTTTGTTTTCTACCAGAGAACTTAATGACTTTTATGACATTACTTGAATGCTTAAAGCAGATGAAATTCTATCATTTCTGGCAGCGATTAAGAGTTTTAAGTAGATTTGTAGACAACCATTCGAACATTCCTTTGGCACGATCAGGATCGTAAGACCAGTCATTTGAAGGGGAAACAAGAACAGACAACTTGATTTACATATGTACTAGATTTGGATCAAGTCCCCAAGAGTCCCTAAGCCTCGCACTTCAATGTCTCTACTTTTCCCTATGTTTCGAAGACTCACCCACGCACCTACGTTCCTGTATTTCCTGTCCTCCCGCCACGTTTGTGGAACGAACAGAATTTCGAAATATTCAAAAATAACCGAAAATAAAACACGAATCAATAGGACACATAACTTTCTTTAAAAAACCAAATGAAAAAGACTACTTTGATTCGGTATTGTCTGTAGATAGTAGATTTGTCCCCGAACCCCACTAATTTGTATCTGCTGGATGTATTTCAGCGCCCGTCGAGCCGTGTGGACATACTCCAAAGATCGAGCCAATATTGCACTGCGCTGGTCCTGGCTCTGCTCACAGATGGCCGAGTTGGAGGGCAGGAAACGCCAGTATCGTGATCTGTATATGGATTTGAATCACTCAAAGGGCGCCGTGGAGCTGGAGCAGATGCAGGTGCAGCAGCCGGCGAATGGCTACAAGGAGGAGCCATCCAGCGAATATCAATGCTGCCGCGCCCGACCCCTGATGCTGTCCAAGTTTCGGAAACGCAGTCTGTTCCAAACCACGGGCATTCACACGATTTCCAAGAAGGCCGCTCGCCCCAGCAACATCAAATGCGGCTGCCAGTGGCCACAGATACCGTGTGCCCTGTGCACGGGCCGACCAGATCCGACAGCGCCGCGCGAATTGGCCGAAATGATGATGCCGGCAAATCGAGTGGCGCTCCTCGATCCGGGCTATCATCCAGTGCTCAGCTTTGACACGGGTAAGGGATACACAATCCAGAAATCCATACAAATATTCAATAATCGATCGTCTTCTCCCCCCCCACCCATCCCCTAGATGTCACACAATCTGTGCATTTTGAGGCCATTTGCCGGCAATCGGACTGGCAGCAACGTATGTCGCGCTGCCAGGCCAAGACCGTTGTCAAAGGTGTCTATAAGGCGGAACGCGAGGCCATTGCTGCCAGCAATAGTGCTGCTCGTCGTCCCGGCGACCTGATCAAGCGTCGCTACATACGACGCAAAGAGCGCAACAACAATAATAATAATTCAAACTCAAATAAAGATGCAGCGGCAGCCGGCACGGCAGCGACGGGTCTAGGGGACAGCGGAAACGGTACAGCAACTTCTACTTCTTCTACGCCTTCTACAACGCCACTTGTGGCCAACAGTAAATTATTGTAAACATGACAAACATTCGATATTTGTTATTAACATACAACAACAACAATCTTTTGCATCTCTTCTTCTGTTTCTTTCCATCCAAACCAAAATCGATATCAACATAAAAAACAAAACTGAACCAAAAACAAAAAACAAAAAAACAAAAAAAAACTGAACCGAACCGAACCGAAAACCGATACCGATCCTTCCTCCAATCACCAATCACCAATCAATACAACATCATCAAATTGTTTATTATGCCCTTCGTTTCTCTCCGCACCCTATGGGGATGCAGCAGCTGCGAGCAGGAAGCAGCAGCAGGCGCATCAGCCACCAACTGGAGTGAACGGCTCCAGATTGCCGTGGCCCGACTCTCGCCAACGCCAACGACAGCGCCTCCACAGTCCCTCCTCAGCATCTCAGATCTCGAACAGCGACGCTAAGCGGCGACGCATATCCAAAAACAACAGAAACAGCAGCAACAGCAACAGCAATTCCAACACACTAAATAACAGCCATCTGAATGGGTATAGCGATCAAAGCGGTGGAGGTGCAGGTGGAGATGTGAGAAGCGGTAGTCGTAGTCGTCATGCCTCGCCCACGCAAAATCAACGTTCGGAGAGGTAGGGAAAATGGGCAGCTTCCAGACCAAAGGATCTACCAACTAAAACTTAAAACTTTCAGAACAACAGAGCGTCGTCATCGTCCCGTTTATGATATTGATAATATTGTTATACCCTATAGTATTGCGGCCCAAACGAAAGTGGAGATACTGCCCTACAAAGAGATACCCACACCCAAGTATGTCCCCCCCCTTTATCTCTCTTTTGCTGTGCAATCATTCTCATACCATCTGTACTCTTGTTGGTTTTTGTAGATGGCGCGTTGTCGACAGCGAGACTGATAACACACCAGTACAACCAGCAGCATCATCATCTGATGATTCAGCAGCAACAGCACCACCAGCAGCAACACCAACAACACCAGCACCAGCACCACCACCACCACAGATCAAAGCCGGTGGCAATGGCATTGTGCCAGCGGCAGCAGCAGCGTTAAATGAGCAAAAGCCGCAGCCACAACCACAACCACAGCCACAGGCACAGCCAGTGCTGCTGCCTGGGCAACCTTTAAAGGTGAATGGCTTGAAGAAGTTACAGCAGAAGACCAAGCACAAAATAAACAATAATAACAACAATGGACTGGTGAATGGTAATGCCAAGAAGGAGAAGGATGTTCTCCAGCAGGCAGAGGCTAGTGAGAAGAAGGATATTCCCCCAAAGGAGCTGGAGAGCGCGAAGGAGGCTGTCGTCCAGGGGCTGGCTGTGCAGGCGGAGGCTAATGATAAGAATGATATCCTGTCAGCTGTCGGCTTGGAGAACGATGCCCAGTCATCGTCAGCCGCTGATAAAAAAGATATCCAGTCCTCAGATGCTGAGAAAAAAGTTATCTCTTTACCAGCCAACGACCAAAAGGACATCCAGTCCACAGCCAGCGATCAAAAGGACATCCAGTCCACAGCCAGCGATCAAAAGGACATCCAGTCCACAGCCAACGATACGAAGGACATCCTCCCATCAGCAGCCAGCAGAAAAAAGGCTTCCAGGGCCAAGAAAAAGGGTCTCAAAAGAAAGAAGCATAGGCCCAATGGGAAAATCGAAAAGGCAACAGCAACTACAACAAAAGAAGCTGCCGTTGCCGTTGCCGCTGCCCCTTCCACTTCCGTTGATGCTGCTGCAATAAAGGGCGAAACTAAAAGCAAACCCCATTTGATTGAAGGTGTCCGCATCGCCACGGTGGAGCCAATGGCCAAGCGGCCCAAACTACAGCTGGCCAAGACCGGAGAGGGCGACAAACCCAAAACGAATGCCGGCCAAGCAATAGCGCCTATCGTACAACTGGATCCGGAGGAGGACGAGGAAGATGAGGACACCTCCGACGAGGCGTACATTGTGCGACATCAGCTTGCCCTGATCGAGGAGCGGCAACGCTTCGAGACGTATCTCAAGTTTCCGTGGAGCACGCGACCCCGAGCCAATCGCCGGATAGACAGTCGCGCCGAATCGAGCGGCGCCAATACGCCGGATTCGGCCTCGCCAGCTCCACATCTGGCTGGTGGTGCGGGAGCCGGCGATAACGAGAGCATACCCTCGCCGTTGGCCCAGCCATTGGAGGGTTTCAACGAGAACGGCGAGATGTTGGGGGCGACGTCACGACCGCAGTCACGCCGCAGAACCACGTCCAGCAAGCTTAAGGATCAGGCGGAACGCCGCAGTGCCACGCCGGACATAAAAGATGTAAGTAGAAGAGATCAGAAGGAGGTAGGGAGGAACAACTTTTACAAGTTATATTTTCCAATCAGACTTTTGTGGAGCCATCACCCTTCGAGCCGCTGATCTTTCCTCTGTCCGAGGAGGTCTACCAGAAGATGCTGGCCGAGCGCTATGCCCCGCCCAAGTATGAGGTGCTGAAGCCGGAGGTGAAGCGCACCAAGAGCAAGTCCACATCCTCCAATGGGGATGGGGGATCAACGGGTGCTGGGAAGAGCAAACGACGCAGCAGCAGCAAGTCGAAGAGCAAGCTAGTCAATGGTCAGCAAAATGGCCATCCAACGGCGGATGCTGCTGGGAAGGCGGCGTCAGCATCCAGAGCGGGCAAGGCAAAGATCAATGGCGGTGGCGGCCTTGAGGAGGAGTTGGAGGAGGAAATGGACGATGGCGTGGACTACGACCCAGAGCCGGAGGATATTCTGTGGGAGGAGCTGGAAGAGGACTATCCCAAGCATCATTTGGCACCGCTCGATGATGACGAAATGCTTAATGGCCCTGACGATCTCTACAACTCTGCGATCGATTCTTATTTGGATGATCCGGAGGCCCTAGAGGAGGACATGGCCGATGATCCGTTTGGCGACGATGACCCCAATGATCCGGAATGGAAGACCCGTAGCGATGGATCGCGCAAGCGTCTCTAAAAAAGCCAACCCAAAATCCAAAGCAAATAACTTTTCATTCTCCATATTTAAAAGCAAAAGAAGATATTTTATCAATTTTAAACAGAACACACACACAATCCACACCCACACCCACAGATGAGATGACATGGAGCTATCGAGTATTTTAATTTGTTTTAAAATATGTTTTTTGTTGGTTTTGCCGAGTTTGTTGTCGTCCCCGCTGGGCTGATGACCGACAGCATAGCAAGGCGTACTCTACTCTTAAACAGTCTTCTAAGTTATTTAGTTCTACGACAGACACGACACAACACACACACACACACACACACAAAATATGCGCCGAGATGATGGAAGAGAAGAAAAGGAAACAAAACAAAACTCGTAAATAGAGAGAATACACATGTAAATAAAAAGCAACAAAATTATAGCGAATAAGCGGATTAATTCTAAAGAAAGTAAAAACAAGAAAAAACAAACTGTAAACTATAATGTATAATGTAATCGATAATAATAGAGGTACGTTGCGAATGCGACTTTTTTCGGCGATGAAGAATCGAACACACCCACCACTCTGGCACTCTCCAAATGCAACACTGTCTTGTGTATGTGTGGTGGTGAGTGCGTTCGGTTTTTTGGAGCGCACCAGCAGCCACCCACCACTTGGGCTACAAGCCAAAGTGCGTTCAAGAATAAAGGATTTAAGCTAATCTACATATAAACAAATACACTTATAAATATATAATATAACAACAAACACACACACACACAAATATCTATATATATGTACATATATATATATAGATATAGATGCCGTTAGAGCAGATTTATAAAGCAGATGATAAGAAATGTAATCGCGCGCACGTGCACAACAACCAATCGACAACCAACAACCTTCTCCTTAAGCGGGCATTCAAAAGGCTTGCTTTCACTTTTTATTTGTTAAGAGAAAACGTTATGTAAAAAAGGAATTCTGGCAGAGAAGAATCGAAGTGAGCGAGGTGAGGAGAGGAGAAGTGTGGGGGGTGCAGTGGAGTGCAGCACGATCATGTATATGTAATGTATTTAGTCGCTTAGTCGTTTTCATTTCTACCTTAAACGTTAGTAGATATTAAACATAACAAAAACAAAAAACAACACGAAAACGGATAATATGCGCCGTATAAATGTTTATTCTAATTATTTTTCCTCTCGTTAAATACTTGAAGAAAGCAAAGAAAAAATTGTGAAAGATTTACTAAGGATAGCAGAAATACAGAACTCTATATTCGTATTTACGAGCCAGAGATTGTGTTCTCATATTTGCATGCTTTACTTTATGATGATATATGCTTTTTTGGGGGGGGATAACAGATGTGGCAATTATTGTCACCATGTGTTTCTTTCTACCAATCCATCAGTTGAGTTCAGTTGATGATTGAACAACGCCACGAGATGATGGTAAGAGAAGAGCTAATCGCCGAAAAAAGAGAAGCGTCTAATCTAACGTCCAAACTCCCTAAACCAGATATCATTGCTATTCGTGCTGGCACTCAGCTCTACTTTCCATAGTGGATCCCTAATGCTGACGACTGCCAGATCGGAGCCCAGCATCAGACAGTTGCTGAACAAACAGCAGCTGAAGCTGACGAATCTAGAGTTTACTCTACGGCATGTACTGAGCAAGGTTTTGTTTCTCAGCGATGCCGATGTGCATGCCCCAAGGAGAGGGGATTCCGATCCCCTTGTGGAGCTATCAAAGCGTGTGACTCAACTGCTTCAGCGACTGGCAGAGAGTGAAGAGAGGACCGCAGATATTCTCAGCAGAATAGAAGCAAAAATCAGTGCACCGGGAAGTCTGGGACCTGCTTCAAATGAGACTTTAGGGCTCAACAAAACAGCGGTACAGTTGGCAGAGGTAGAGGTAGAAGAGGCGGAACCCAAACAAAAGGAACTACCTAAATTGGGTAAGCGAGAATTTGATAATAAAGGGAATCCTTCGCACTCACCTGACAACAATCCACTCCAGATCCAATGCAACCCGCCAAGGCCGACTGCTACGAGCTCGAGGACTTGACACGACGAGATGGCATCTTTCGATTTCTAGTGCCAGAACTGAACGAAGTAGGCCGGGATTTCAATGAGCGCTATTGCGCTTTCACTTTGGATGGCCCCGCCTGGACGGTGATACAGAGTCGCGGACCCTACCAAACGCAGGAGAACTTTAATCGCACCTGGGACGAGTATCGCACAGGGTTCGGCAGTTTGGAGAGGGACTTCTGGTTTGGCAACGAATTCATACACAAGATTGTCTATCGCGACGATCACATGCTGCGCATCGAGCTGGAAGATCAGGAGGGGACGCGAGATTGGGGCGAGTACGCGGTGTTCCGGCTGGACAGTGAGAGCTACAACTACCAGTTGGTTATCGATGGCTACCAGGGTTCCATGCCCGATGCCCTGGAGTACCACAACAAGATGGATTTCAGCACTTGTGACCGTAGGAATGACCAAAGCCCGCGCGAGAGTATCCCCTGTGCGGTGCGCTTTGGCAGCGGCTGGTGGTTCGATCGTTGCCAGGAGTGCAACCTCAATGGGATCTACCCAGGATCGGGCCGTTCGGGTATCATCTGGGCAGACTGGCGGAGCGGTAATTATACCTTGAAGACGGCCCGCATGATGATACGACCCGTACGATTTGTTCCGGCCACCGCGACGACATTTACGACGAGTAATCCTGGAGCACTTTTAAAATTTAAATAGAGTTTATCATAATTTTGATCGCCTTTTTGATCGATAAGTTGTTCCTCCTTATACCGTTACCGATAGGTATCGAATCTAGTGGTCTAAAGTCCATCGAACAGATGATCTAAAGTCTTTCCTATTTGACATTTATTTTGAGTTACAAGTTCTGGCGGAAAAACAGTCCGAAAATATACATATATTTCAAAATATTTGACAGGCTGTTTTTTTTTTGTACCTTCATTGCATTTTTAGGGCAATGAAATAAATTTGTATATTTTATGGTTGTACTGCACTACACTTCTGTTCTAATCTAGTGTGAAGGACAGAGATAGCACAAAACTAGTATTGGTACCTGTCTGCACATTGATATTGGCCACAATCCTTTGCGGTTAATCTAACTTATGGCCATCTTAAATAATAACATGAATAAAAAACACCGAAATTATGCATTGAATCCAACGATTCAAATTCAACAAAACACCCATCTCTTAATCGCTTTTATCTATTTTATAATGCTAATTATTATATTCGCGAATATAAATGGCACGAAAACAAATTTTCTTACTAACTCTATCGACGTTAATATTTAAAAGAAGAACATTCTGCATACCCTAAGAGAAAAGGATATTGTTGAATTAGGGAAAGTTTGTCATCTCAACGAAATTTTGTATATAATAAAATAAGGTATACAAATTGTAACAATATCGTTAACATTTACATTTTAGGCTTTGACCTTTTTTGCTTAAAAGGAATAATGGAAGCATTTAAAATTAGCCAATCTTGTAAAAAATTGAATCATCAATAAGATAATGTGTAAGATTAACGTACAAAATGTCAAACCCTATTTTTCCTCCCATTACGTTAACATTTTTAATAAATTGGGCAAAATCTAAATATTTCAAGAGCTGGAAACAGGACGACCGCTTTCGGTATTTTTACTACTTTTCGGTATTTTTTAGTACAAAATTTAGCCGGCGGTATATCGGTATATAATGGTATATTTGATCAATTTCATCAATCTATTAAATTTCTTTCAACATTATATAGAAATACAATAAAAGCAATTATTTAAATTAAACCAATCAAGTAAAAAATTGATTCATCAATCGTATAAAATTATGTGGGCATTGCTAAATGTTCTATATAGCTGGGAATATTCGACGGAAGATCAAAAACGAGTATTTATTGGTGAATAACCGGTTGACAACAATGATTACCGGCAGCACTAATTTTCATACCCTGGAGAAGAGGATATGATAGAATTGAGGAAATATTTGTCATCTCAGGCTCCGTAGGAATCAGGATCGAATAAATATATACAAGATACTTATTGTTTGTAGTGGGGCGGATCGCTGCTCAATTCTCCAACGACGAAGTTGGCGATCCAGTGAAACCAGCTAGTCGCCGTCGCAAGAAATGAAAAGCCGTTGTGTGTCGTGGTATGTATATGTAGGTGTGTCTTTATAAATTTCGTTGTATCTTCATATAAAACTAACAAAATAGGGTATACAAAGGCCCAGGCGTGCATCATGTCATCAAATACCAGCATCATTGCGACTGTTTTTTTGTTGAACTATTTTGTTTAAGCCTTGTTTTAGTCAAAATGTTTTAGGCAAAAATAATAAATAAAAGCAAGAGTTAAGAAAAAACTAGTCAATTAGAAAATGGATTCATTAATCGTATAAAATTATGTGGGCATAGCAAAATGTTACATTTAGCTAATAATAATCCACGGAATATAAAAAACGAGGAATATGTAAAATGGAACTTGAATTCGTCAGTATATTTACGGTATATTTTTAAAATGAGACGGTATGTTTTGGTATATTTCAGAGGGTCTGACGATATATTTGATCGATAAATAAAACTTGCATTAAATTGGTCAAAATGTAAAAATTTGAAGAGCTGGAAAGGAAAGAACTGCGGCGCGTCGTCGAACGGAAAACTTAATATTATTAACATAATATGTGCGTTGGCGTGTGTGAGTTTGTGTGTAAGGAAACAAGCAGAGGCAAGAAGCACAAATAGCAAAAGGACACGGCAGCTCCAGGCCGATTGCAGCGTATTTTCAGTATTTTTCAATTAAAAGAAGTTTTTAATTATAAAGCAGAGCTTTACTCTCAAAATAATAAAATTAAGTGCCTGCCGCCTTGTATTTGTTCTGCTTAACCATGGCCTACACGAATGGTTGAATATAGCAAAAGGATTCCTCGGCACTGCCAATTTACAAGAACAACAACTGAAAGAACGACGGCCACTCCTTTTGTGTCCGACTCCCCTTGATGTGGATGTGTGTGCGTGTTCGGTTCGTGTCCGCGTCCGTGTTTGTGTATTGTAATTGAAAATTGTGATTACTGTATGAATTAAGGCTGCAATATCGTAATAATTAAGAAAGTGGCCGGGCAATAAAAAGTGAAAATTTGCTGCGTTTTTTGTGTGTGTCTGCAGAAACAAAAACAAAAACAACAACTGCAACTACAACTACAGTTAGAGATAAGAAGCTCTCACTCACACATACACACCTACGCTACATTCACACGCGAGCAGAACAGAACGAGTGTAGTGTGCGTGCGTGTGCCTGTTTTTATGACTCACGGCTGGGCCAGAGTGTGGGGGAGCGAGTGAGAGAGCGTTAGTAGCTGAGCTGCTTGACTACCTACGGCAACAAAACAGTTAAATTTCCCAAGCTGAGAGCGTAACTAATCGCGTTTGGAAGAAAATTCCAAAGTCTCCGCCGGAGACAAAGGAAGAACGAGAAACGAAAGAGAGTGAAAAACCGACAGCACAGAAACCCAAACAGAAAAACATCACGAACATGAGTTTCGCCAAGTGGTTCAAGAAAAAGGAGCAGATCTCCGAGATCGGTGCACCCACAAATTTCCAGCGGCACTTCCATGTCTCCCGCAACCAGGAAACGGGCGATCTGGAGGGTCTGCCCGCGCCCTGGGTGCGGCTCATGAACTCACAGATCACCCGGGACGAGCAGGACAAGAATCCCGATGCCGCCTACCATGCCGTCAAGTACTACAACTACTCGATCAAAAAGAAGGAAACCGAGGTGTTCAAGCCCTTCATCACCGAGGATGTCATCCATGAGGAGTCAAAGGAGATTGAGAACTATGTCAACTACAAGAACAAACACAAGTCCCAGGATCCGGAGAAGTCGGATGACGATGGCAGCTCCACGGCCACCGAAACGGAGACCAGCAGCGGCTGCGGCTCCTCCGCGGGGAACAGCAACAGCAGCAGCATCAACGACAGCAGCCAGCAGTCCCATGGTCCATTGGACGGCCACAGGCCCCTCGATGAGATGTTTAAGGAGCTCAAATCGAATCTGGAGCACCGCGAAACGCTTAGGGCCGCGCCAGCCATGTCCAACAGCCTACAGGAGCCACCGCCAGTGCCTCCCAAAAAGTCCACGCACACGATGCCGCCCAAGCCACAGATCAAGCCAAAGCCCCGAGTCACCCAGAAGTTCTCGCGCTCCTCCGACCTGCGACGGGAGGATGACGACCACAAGATCAACACAGACACCATCATCATCAAGCCGGCGGCGCCGGGCCAGCATGTCGACGCCTCCGAGGACAATCCCGACGAGACGATACTGCGCCGGTCCAAGGAGAAGCGGGCCCAGAAGACCGATGCCGAGATCTACGATGAACTTCGAGCCATCTGCAATCCCGAGGATCCGCGGGAGCGCTACAAGACCACCCAGGAGGTGGGCAAGGGGGCCTCCGGCATCGTGTTCATTGCCGGCGATCTGACAAACGAGTCGCAGGTGGCCGTCAAGACGATCGACATGAAGAACCAGTCCTCGAAGGATCTCATACTCACCGAAATCCGGGTGCTTAAGGATTTCAATCACAAGAACCTGGTGAACTTCCTCGATGCCTATCTGCTGGAGCCCGAGGACCAGCTGTGGGTGGTCATGGAGTACATGGACGGCGGCCCACTCACCGACGTCGTCACCGAGACTGTGATGAAGGAACGCCAGATCGCCTGCGTCTGCCGCGAGGTGCTCTATGCCATTAGCTTCCTTCATGCGAAGGGCATCATCCACCGCGACATCAAGTCGGACAACGTGCTGCTCGGTATGGACGGGTGCGTCAAAGTGACAGACTTCGGGTTCTGTGCCAATATCGAGGGCGACGAGAAGCGCCAGACGATGGTGGGCACCCCCTACTGGATGGCGCCCGAGGTGGTCACGCGAAAGAAGTACGGCAAGAAGGTGGACATCTGGTCTATTGGCATTATGGCCATCGAGATGATCGAGGGCCAGCCGCCCTACCTATACGAGACGCCGCTGCGAGCCCTCTACCTGATCGCTGCCAACGGACGGCCCGATGTCAAGAGCTGGGACAAGCTGAGCCCCAATCTGCAGGACTTCCTTGATCGCTGTCTCCAGGTGGAGGTCGATAGACGGGCCACCGCCGATGAGCTGCTGAGCCATCCCTTCCTCAACGACTGTAGCGAGGTCAAGGCCCTGGTGCCCAACATTAAGGCAGCCAAAAAGGTCCTCCGTCGCAACGTATAGTTAATGTGCAATCATCGGGCGGCGAGGCTGCTCTACGCGTGATCGAGGCCACCATTACAAAAGCCCGATCCCGATACCCAGAGCGCCCCCTGACCAGCCCAGGCCCCTGTGTATAATGAGTTTTCAATGTAAATTTGATTTTGTGTCGAAGAAACTGGAACTGGAATAGAATGCTGATTATAGTCTTTGTAGAAACCCCGTAAAATAGCAAAAACAGGAACTGCAGCAGCACCTAGGACTGGATGAACTCCCCCGTTGAAAACAGGTAAGTCCCAATTCCAATCCCAATCCCCTTTTCCCAGGTAGCTTGGATTCACACACATGTTACCCTAGTTTTTCGGATTATTCATGCGCGAACGAACCCATCTCCATTTCAATGGAAACCTTTTTTCGCAATACCACAAATGAGGAAACATTCCATTTGGGTTTATTGGTTGCTGCCGAGTTAGTTTTAAGTGCGTTGTTCGAAAGTTGTCAAAAAGAGCCCAGGCAGAGCGGCCCCAAAGAGCGGCAGTTTGCTATCTTTATAGGTTTAATCAGTATCTGGAGATTACTTTCGATCAAGGTTGAACAGTGTGTGCACGAGGTCTGAATGTTGTTTGGACACTTTGCAGAGTTTTGTAACGAAGAGAAGGAGTGGACAGGGGCTATTTGTTTGCAGAAAAATGGCTCAGATTTACAGAATTCAGTTTTAAATAATAAAGGGGGAATGGATCACCCCTAAGATGTTTTTGTGAGGAAAATAAAAAAGATGAATCATCTAAAGAGCAACTAAAGGGTCGACCACTGAAGTTCTCCCTTTTTTCATAGCCTAATAGCCATCTCCCTCCCACTCTGTTGCATACTCTCTTGCATTCACATCAGCCCGGAGAGCAGAGCGAGCATGACCCGTTAGTTTACGAGTACACACATTTTTAGTGTCATCTCTTTTCGTTTGCCTACAGTATTACGTATGAAGTTTGGTTTGTTGCTGAAAAAGCAAGAAAAATCCCATTGAAAAATGACAAACAATACAATCAAAGAAAGAAGAGCAGTGGCAGCAGCAGCAGCCGCAGCAACAACAAACAACGCAAAGTACGCAATTTAACACGCTCGTTCGCATTTCCTGTTTGGAATATCGCTTTGTCTGGCCAAAATAATATTCATACATAATAATAATAAAAAAAAAACTTTAATTCACACACACATGCAGCAGACGGACAGAAAAAACACCCACACTCTTCCGGACTTTCAGCTGAAAGTTATCTTTCTTTTGCTTATCACACCACTCTATAAATGCTATTGTAAAGCCCCCTGGCTGGAAATCGACGCAAATTTGTCAAATTCTTAGGACAATTTTTCGTGGCATTTTAATATATGATAAGAACAAAGGCGATCGTAGAAGAGAATATGAGAGATAGCTGAGAGAGAGGAAGGGAGCGAGCAAGTCGAAGTAGAGTCGTCCATGCGTGTGCGTGTGAGCTGCACAAAGAAAGAGAGTCTGATTCTGATGGCGGTTGCTCCCTCTCCGTCTCCGTCTCCGTCCCGGCATTCTGTCTTTCTCCATGTCTTCGGCTCTCACCCTCCCACTTATTCAATTTAATTGCTTGTGCAGCAGTAGCTGTCAGAGGGGGGAAGACGACGACCGTCGCGACTTCACTGCGCTATTTATACTCTCTCCCACTCCCACTTTAGACAGTGTTCTTCCCCCTCCTATCCAGAGTTATTTTCCCCTCGCCAGAGGTCTTGCTTCTCTTGTCTGCGTGCCTCCTCTTCTTTTTCTACCGGATCTCCTCTAGGCTCTTTATTTGTTTAGTTTACTTTTGCTTTCCGTTTTGCCTCACTCAAATGGGGTGGGAGGGAGAGCACACAGTAGCCGATTATCTGTCTACTTCTTGCTCACTTTAGATGCGGATATTGCGTTTTTTTGAATGCCAAGAAAATAAAACCGAAAGAAGGGATAAGAATATTGCAAATATTGCAGTTCTATAGGAGCGTCGACGGCGGCGGCGGCTGCTGTTCCTGGTAGTGGCGCCGCCTGGATCCCGCCCCGCTGCATGATGCCGGGGTTAAAGTACAATTCCACGCGTGCTAAATGTGTGTGTGTGTATGAGTAAGCGAAAGGCAGAGCCGCTCTAGCATGAATAGATTTGTCTCTGAATCCCCTATCGCATTGCCAAAACGTCTTGTATTTTGACCAAGAAAAACGCCCCGAAAACACAACCAGACCAGAAATGACTAAACCCCATTCACATTTAGTTCGATTTCGAATGGCGCCTCTAAACGATAATTTTTCACCTTGCGCAAAGGTTTCTGTCTTTCCTCCAGTGTATGCGTGTCTGTGTGCTTCGTTTATTGAACCACATTGTTTGTTGTTTTTGGTGTAGCTAGTGTGCGGAATTTCAGATGATTCATTCATTATTTTTTCGGGGCTTCGCAACGCGTGCGGACTCAGAGGGCTCTTTTTTTTCCTTTACTGCCAGACGGGGGTGTGTGTAATATCCCCCACTTCCCACTCCACTCTGTATCACGCAATAAAACAATGCAAAACTTGTGTGTTTTAATGTAATGATTTTCAGCGACATTACAAACGGGTATTTTGTCAGAGTTTCCAATGTCTGGCAGCGGCATACTCATCCACACTCATGCACACACACACACACACACACCCAGTCAGAGCGCTCTCGCATGCATTCGTTGCATTCACAATTACAGTTACGATGCACATTTCTTTATTGTGCGACTCATTGGATGCTATGTTTTGTGGTATGCATTTTGTAGGTACATGATCCACATGGACTCCACACATGCGCTCCACATGACACAGGCCGTTGAGGTGGGGATGGAACTTCTTTTGGCCGCCCCTTTCGAATCTGGAGCATGCTCTCATTTGCATTCAAAGCCAACAATCAGTTAACTTTTAAGAGAGTGGATAGAGGGTGCAAGTACGAGAATTATATATTGCTATGCTATACTACTTGATGCAAGAATTTCCGATCAGCATCAAAATCCCTTTTACCCTTCTTATGACTACTGGCATATAAGCATCTAACTTTTAAGTATCGGAATACTATATAATTTAGCTCCCAGTGATCGTTCACTTTGTGAGAGTATCCAAAGCTTCGGTCTCCCTCTTTTAGCCTATCTTTTTTGTTTTGTTTTTGATTTGTCGATGGAAAATTGTGTGGAAAACTGTTGGAACAATGCCACAGGCCCCAGTCAGATATTGTCAGACGTTGTTTCATTGAAATTTAAGCGTGACTTTTTGAGCTGGTGCGCTGTTGCTTGCTGTTGCGCTTCACATGCTGATAAATATAAACAATTATTGCGCTGATAATTGACTCCCCATTGCTCTCCCATGGCATAACACAGTTCTCTCTCCCTTCCTCTGTCTGTTTCTCCTATCTATCCGATTTATATGCAGCGCACTACGTACATATACATACATATATATATAAAAAAAACTGAAATACAAAACTTGGTTGAATGATACCAAAAGATTATGCAGATAGCCCAAGAGAGTATGTGGCTTGGGGCTATTGAGGGGATGGGGTGCCATAAAGAGTCAATGATAATGCATTATTAATTATATTATGCAGTCGCACCTGACCTGTAACCGAATCCCAATGGCAAATGGTCGCCTCCCCTGATTGAAGCAGTCTATTTTTAGCCAACTTTGCCTTTTTCCCCCACCTAATCAGCTGTTCCACTGTTAAGAACTGATAACGCAGGTCTCTCGCAGATAACAAGAACAACTTGTATGATTAATACACTTTACGTGGTTTGGTGTGCGATTTTGTACACGATATACATATGTGCATACCACACGAGGGTATGTTCAGGGTGATGGCAATTATTAGAGGTCGAAATGTTAATTATGCCCCAATTGTTGACTGTACTGTTTTCTTTAACAAGTTGTCAGCCCCACAAATATTGATAATATCTCTTTTCTCTCTCTCTCTCTTGCAGCAGCAGCAGCACGTGTGACAGCCGAGAGCAAACCATCGCCGTGCCCGCGCACTGGAGTCTTCGTCATCGCTCTCTCATGCAGAACGGCGGATGGAGCGGGAGGAGTTATCGCTTAGATTAGATTGTCCTACGGCAAAAAAATTAGCTTATTTCGTACATTGTAAAAATGTATGTGACCACAAACACACACATATGATATAGATATTGTATTATTAACTGTTTTGGACATAAGTTGGATTAATCTTGATATACCCGTATATATACATAATTGTGATTTAAGCGATTTTATCAAATCTGCATTATGCAATTCTACATAAAATTCGTCGTAGTCTCTAAGTTAAAACAAAACCCTCCCACACATACACGCGCAAACACACACAGTAAACCCCTTGCAATACTTGTTGTAAATTACCAAAAAAGAAAAAAAAAAAAACAAAAAAATGAGAAAGAATGGAGTAAAGCTTGAGACATAGCAAGTGGAGAAAAGAGTGTAACAAGTGCCATTAGGACTAGAGCTAGCAGCAGCAAAGCGAAAAAAAAACTAACTAGAAGCAAACAACAACACAACAAAATTATCTATACAATTTATGTCTTTCGCGTAACGAAAACACAGATATCAGATAGCATTACAGAGATTAGAGAACTAACAAAGAAGCATATGTACTATACGTATTAGCTGATATCCGCACAATGATCGATTGATTGTAAAACTTGTTCGATATTCCATTTTAATTAGTACAAACATAAGACTAACGACAAAACAGTTTAAATTAGATATCACCGTTCCTCTTCTCGATCAAATTTGCCATACGCACAAGCAAAGGTTAATGTAGTTCCAAACTGAATAATACGATGATAGACCAGGAATTGTAATTCGGAAGATGGAGAAGCTGTTTTGATATCAGTAATGTGTGTGTCAAAGTTATAAAAAGAACAAAATATTAACAAAGAATATCCTTAAAGAGAGTATATATGCATACATCCATAGATGTGGTATCCATACACTAAACCTAATCCCAGCGGGAAATTACGAGCAATGCCAAAAGAGTAATTGAAGAAAGTAATCGTCAGCGGCACACCTTAGCCGAAATACATATGTACTTCTGTTTGGCATCCGTTTTGTGCTTAGTTTAATTTACTTGAGGAAGCTCTTTCCGGAAACTCTAGATTTATCCGAAAACGTATGCCCCTCTCCAGCTAGTCCCTCTCAACGAATGGAAAGAGTACATTTGAGGATCTTTGGGTTAGCTTTCCTTACTTGTTAGTAGGATTCTTAGTAGGGATTATTCTTTTACTTGCTATTCTGATATTAGTAGCCAATCGACTGCGACTGCTGCTGCTGCAGATCGGTTCATAGATACAATTTTATACAAAACGTAATACCATTCATGATTTTGAAAGAGCTTAACCGATTTAACGAAAATTTACTTGATTTTCTTAGTTTAGCTTAAATATGATGAGTATTAATTAGGCAAGGCAACGAACGGAAGGGAAAAGAAAGTATTCGATGGATGGATGGGCCCCTGGAAGAGAGATAGATGGGCTTTATTGGAAACACGAGACATACCCGACCTTACATATTCGCAAAAAACGCATTTAAGACGAAAGCAAAGATTGCAATTAATAACGTAAATATATATTATAAAAAAAGAAAGAAACTTAAGTCTTACAAAAAACGAAAAACAAATGGTAGCATAAATTTTTTATACGCAACTTTTATTGCAATTGTAAAGAGACGACGAGGAAGGAAGTGAAAGTAGAAGCTGACATCAATTTTGATCGATTCGTAATTATACATAGTAATATATACAACAAGAATTGGCGCTATTTCAATTAAAACTTAATGTAGTTCGAGACACAGAAAGCATATTAGAAAAGAGCAAGGCCTGGACATGGCTTGCCGATAAATAAACAGTATGATAACAGTACGAAGATATGGATATTGGGGCGATAACGATAGGCGCTTTGATGGTAGCTTCATTGTTCGGTTACCGTTACGTTACGCACCGCAACGCACAAAAAGTAAAAGAAATTCCACAATAAGTTTTTATGTTTTTCTACAAAATGCACATGTATTTTTTTTGCTTGCAAAAAACCTAAGTCGTAATCGTATATTGTCTACTCTTATTTAGAATTATTTTGCAATCTAGCATTTAAATGTAATTTAAACACACACAGAAAAACATTTAGTTCTTGTCGTCCCACCACTTTTATCATTGAGGCCGACAATGCCGAGATGTGCCCCTCGCACCATTGTATGTATTTAGTTTAGTCCGCTGCACTGTAATTTTTATTTTGTGTTGTTAAATATATCGTTATTTACTTATTCGACCAAAGCAATAGCATTATTTTTGTGTTTCTCATATTGTTCTCCACCCACCCATCCCCTACAACCATAGATCCTCGCGGTATTTGCCCTGTTCGCGTAGCTCCTTCAGCTGACGTGTGGCCTCCGTCTCGTCCAGATGGAGAACCTTCTGCAGGCAGAGGCAGAGTCCGCTGGCTATGGACGTGGATATCTTGGCGCCATCGGCACAAATGTAGAGCACTGTATCCGGTTTGAGTAGCAGCTTCACCAGCTCCTCTGCGTCTTCTTCCAGCAACTGTTGCACGTAGCTGGGAGATTCCCCGCGAGAGTGGCACATACGTAGACGCTGTAGCACTGACGACTGTTGCCAGGCTAGCAGTTTATTTCGTTTGAGAACAGCTTGCGGGGTCTTGGCGCCCACATATAGCCAGGTTTGACCCTTGGCCGGTTGCTGCTTCTGATGATGCTCCTTGTGGGCCAGAAAACCGAGAAAGGGGGCCAGTCCTGTACCCACAGCAATGAGTATTTGGTTGCTGCATAGATCCTTCTCTGTGTAGCGGAATGTATTGGTCAGACGTGGATAGATGAACACCTTAGCTGGTTGCTCCTGCCGCTGGCATTTTGCCTCCAGCATACTGGTCGTCACTCCAGCCTTGGGACTCAGTACAGAATAGATGATACGCAGCTCCTGTGTGCCGCTCTCCAAAGGACTATTGGCTATCGAGTAGGGACGCGGCAGTAGGCGTGGCAGGTGCTCCACCAGAAACGCCAATGGAGGCTGACAACTGGCACACAGTTCGAGAATGTCCGGAAAGCGTAGACCTTGCTCTAGGATCAACGAATTGTAGTGTGCTGTCGCCTGTTTGGAGGAGAGGCAGGCCAAGAAACCGCGCTCCTTGGCATCGCTGGTGTAGCTCGCCAGGGCGCTAAGGAACTGCTTCTGGAGAACACCATTGAGAGCCAGGCAGTGGGTGAAAATCTCGCGTGGGCACGTCGAGTCCGGTATGTGAGCGGGAATCTTGGCGCTCTTCTTGGCACACTTTAAGGCAAGTTTTATTTGGCAAATGGTGTCTGCCTGATCGATCAATCCGAGGCGATTCAACAATTGCTCCACCACTGCCGGTGCATTGCTGGGCAGTACGCCGATTGTGTCCCCTGGCTCATAGTCAAAGTCGTCCGACTCCAACGTGAGTTCCACCACACGCTTAGTTTCTGTTGCCTTATCAGCTTCCACTAGAACCTGGCTGTGTTTTATGCTGGCCGCTGTTAGTGTGCTGCTCGTCTGGGCAAATGGGAATTTTAGAATATCTCCGCATCTTCGCTGTCCGCATTTCTCCGACTTTGGCTGCAAATTATACGTTTGTTTGAGGACTCTATTTACGCTGGACATCCTTACCTGTTTCCTGAGGGTAAAGTCCACCTCTAGGTTGCTGTCAAGCGGCTTGGCGGGGATAAATTCATTCAAAATAAAGGCTTCAATGTCGGTCATTTCTATGCCCATATCGCGTCTCTTTCCCTTCACATTCGCAGTTAGCGTGACTTCAAGCGAGAGTGCTGCCAGCTTTTAAAAAGAAAAATAGATTCAAAAAGCTTTAGGAAGAACCAACTTTTTTTAGCAAAAAACTTTCTATCTATTCATAAAACAGGCACTATATTTTTTCTCGATGCGAATTCACGGATCGAATTGCTAAACTTGTATATTCAAAGTTTTCTGGAAACGAACCCAAAATGACTCTAATCAGCTGAATTGGCATCACTAAATCAATCAGTTTGATAATCGATTACCAGATCTATCGAAAGCATGCAAAACACAATTCATTGCTGGGAACGAAATTTCGAGTAATTTTATTAAAAATGGCAGACAAGGCCAACAGCGACGACGAGTTCCACGACGCTCTCACCGGAGAGACCACCTGCGAAAAGGAGGCCACAAAATCCCAGCTGAATGAGAAAGAAATTGACGAGATTGTTGAAAAGCAGAGCACGCTCCAGCTGGACGATGACGAGGAGGAGGGTGCAGCCGCCGCCACTGTTGCTTCCGGCGGCGATGGCGACCAGGAGGTGAAACAACCTGATGGTGAAATAAGCCTCGAGGAGCTGCGCGAACTGGAGAAGCATCTGAGTGTCGAGGAGCTGGCGGCAAACAAAGAGAAGGCCGCCAAACTCAAATTGGAGGGAAACGAGCTGTTCAAGAACGACAACGCCCAGCGAGCCATCGAAATCTACACAGAGGGCCTGAACGTGTGTCCCTCGGACAGCAGCAAGGAGCGGGCCGTGCTGTATGGCAACAGAGCAGCTGCCAAAATTAAGTTGGAGTCCAACAAATCAGCCATTGATGACTGCACAAAGGCCATTGAACTGTGGCCGGAGTACGTTCGAGTGCTATTGAGGTGAGGCTGCCAGATCTAAAGTTCAAACTCTATTTGGAGATGCATAACCATCCCCTTTCAGACGCGCCAAGCTCTACGAACAGGATGACAAGCCGGACGAGGCTCTGGAGGACTATAAGAAAGTCTATGAGATTGATCCCGGACAGCCTGAAGCGCGTGAGGCTCAGGTACGTTTGCCGCCCATAATCAATGAGCGGAACGAGAAGCTCAAAACCGAGATGATGGCCAACCTAAAGGACCTGGGCAATATGATATTAAAACCTTTCGGCCTGTCCACACAGAATTTCCAAATGAACCAGGATCCCAACACGGGTTCATATTCCTTTAATTTTAATCAGAATCCAAGCTAGTTCAAATGTGTGCGTGTTATTGAGCCAATAAAACTGTTTCCAAGAAACTAAAAAATCGCGAGATTGTTTTTGACTTTTTATTTCGACCAATATCTCAGTTGGAGCATCGCTGGCAACAACCGATAAACGATAGCGATGAAGCAACAGCTGACACTTGTGTGGGAAGAGGAAGAAACATTTTTGGAAAAATCGCAATTTGCAAATTACAAAATTAGAATCGTGTAATTAGTCTATTTGTATGGCCAGACTCTGTGGCGCCACTGCTACAACCGTTGCATGAAAAGTTCGAACAGAAACGCGACGCGGACAACTTCGATGCTGCGCCTGCACTGCTATTAGCTGAGTATTAAACAATACGATACACCCGCCCACTAGCCAGTGGTCAGTAGCCAGCCAAGCAATGTTCCGCAGTCGAAGCTGGTTCGGCGGCCCCTGGGGCGGACGACCCAAGAATCGCCTGTCTCTGGATCATCTAAAGTACCTGTATAGCATTTTGGAGAAAAACACAACCGTGTCGGAGAGCAATCGTGGCCTGTTGGTGGAGTCGCTGCGCTGCATTGCCGAGATACTGATCTGGGGGGATCAGCACGACTCCCTGGTGTTTGAGTATGTCCCCAAACTGTCGGCTGTAACCTTGGTTAATTTCATGTTTGCTCTTGCAGCTTCTTTCTGGAGAAGAATATGCTCTCGTATTTCCTGCACATAATGCGACAAAAGAGTGGCGGCTCGAGCTTTGTATGTGTGCAGCTGCTGCAAACGCTCAACATTCTCTTCGAGAATATACGCAATGAGACGTCTCTGTGTAAGTTGGGCCTCCTAAATGTCTTTGTCTTTGACTCCTCGACTAAAGCTCATCTTTATCTTTAGATTATCTGCTGAGCAATAATCATGTAAATTCCATTATGGTGCACAAGTTTGACTTCTCCGATGAGGATGTTATGGGCTACTATATACTGTTCCTGAAGACGCTCAGCTTGAAGCTAAACACCCACACCATTCACTTCTTTTATAATGAGGTTTGGCCCGCGCTTTCTTTTCGCTTGCAAGGCTCCATTAAATCGTTTCATTTCTGTTTGCAGCACACGAATGATTTTCCTTTGTATACGGAGGCTATCAAATTCTTTAATCATCCCGAGTCTATGGTGAGGATTGCTGTGCGGACCATTTCCTTGAATGTCTACAAGGTGCAAAACTCCAGCATGTTGCGTTTTATCCGAGACAAGTGAGGATTCCTCTGAGCACTTTTAGATGTTAGGACTAATGGATTTGTATCTTTCAGAACGGCAGCTCCTTATTTCAGTAATTTGGTGTGGTTCATTGGCAAGCACATCCTCGAATTGGACACCTGCGTGCGCACAGATATAGAGTGAGGCTTACCTTGCTTCAATCTCCCCATCGGAACTTACCTTTCCCCCATCTTCTTTTCAGCCACCAATCAAACCAGAAGCTGTCGAACCTGGTGGCCGAGCATCTCGATCATTTGCACTATCTGAGCGATATTCTACTGCTTGACATCAAGGATCTGAATGCAGTGCTCACCGAGCATCTGCTACATAAGCTCTTTGTGCCTTTGTACATATTCTCCCTGACGCCAGCACCACCACCGCCCTCCCTGGCGCTCGTCACCCAGAATCTGGCGGCTGTGCTGAATCGTAATGTCGATATTGACATCCAGGAGATGCACAATCCGCGCGTTAGTTCCATTGTGGCCCTCTATCTGCTGTCGCTGGTCTTCCTGGTGGTCTCGCATGCCCCACTGGTGCACGCCCTGGCCTGGGTCATCCTCAATGGCGATCATAGTGTGTTCAAGGAGGGAGCTGCCGAGATTCTCAATTCGTATGTAGAGCATCGTGAGGTTGTGGTGCCAGGCTTTGGCGAGCCCAATGAGAGCCTCGAACAAGCACTGGACACGGTCACGGGACAGTCCAGTGTCTCCAGCTATGCCTTGAGCGAGGACAGTGGTGTGGAGTCGTCTTCTCCGGCCACCACAGAAGTGGACGCGCAAGCGGAAGTGGATGCGGCGACAAAACTGCGCAACATCACCGATGAGGAGAAGGAGCTGTTGCAAAAGTCCTCAGGCTCTGGTAAGGCGGACTTTGGGGAGCTGGCGAAACCGTTTCTGGACACAGTTCTGCAAGCTTTGGACTGCACCGAGAACGATTATCTGGCTCTGTTGTCCCTCTGCCTGATCTATGCCATGTCGCACAATCGAGGTGAGGTCCCCATCATCTTTCTGTCTCTTTCTGTTATGTCTGGGCTAACATTTCACTGCTCTAATCACCCGATTCATGCTCCATTTCAATTACTTCTTTGTGTGTCTTGAACTTTCACATTGTGGTACCATGTCCTAACCCTTCAGATGGTATGTAAACTTGTCCATTTGCTTTACTAATCCATTAGTTTACGGTTCGCACTGTGGGTTTTCTAATGCTTGATTGTATTTTCTCCTCTAACAGGCATCAAGAACGAATGGTTCGAGCAGGTTCTGTCAAAATCCACGCGTGGTTCTTTCAGCTACAAGACAGCCCTGATTGAGCACTTGTTGAATATAATCACACAGTCCAGCCAGCCGTGTATGTAGCTCATATCCCTTCATCTTTCTTTTGTTTTAATTTATGCCAAAATCCTTTGTTCAGCCTGTCGCATACGCTTGATTACTGTGGAGATTGCCCTGGAGCTGTTGGTCACCTTCACCAAACCCAGTTCGGATGAGGCGCGTTGCATTACGACGGGACAGCAGGATCTGCTATTTAGTGCCCGCAATCAGTCGATGCTGGTCCTGCGCAACTTCTACAAGTCTGAGGATATATTCCTGGACCTATTCGAGGACGAGTACAACGAGATGAAGAAGGCCCAGCTGAACGTAGAGTTTCTGTGCATGGACTCAGCTATTCTGCTGCCGCCCACGGGCACGCCACTCACTGGCATCAATTTCACGCGCCGCCTGCCCTGCGGTGAGGTTGAGAAGGCACGTCGAGCGATCCGTGTCTACTTTTTGCTCCGTCGCACGTGCCAAAAGTTCCTCAACGAGAGGGAATCACTGCTGCCGCTGACGAATGTTGTGACGCTGGTGCAGGTGGACAATACCCTCGATCTGAGTGAGTATAGCAGGGATTGATTGGATGGTATAATGACTGACTGACTGAGAACCTTTAATCTCTACAGACAATAGCGACCTGATTGCCTGCACAGTGGTGGCCAAGGATAATACCAAACAGAGGCGCTTCCTGGTCATCGATGCTTTGCAGTTGATACTCGTTGAGCCCGATGCCAAGCTCTTGGGCTGGGGAGTCGCCAAGTTTGTAGGTTTCCTGCAGGATGTCGAAGTCCAGGGCGACAAGGATGACTCCCGCTGCCTGCACATCACCGTCCATCGCGGAGGTGTGACACATAACCGCACGCCGCTGCTCTCTGCCAAGTTCCTGTTTGATGATCACATCCGCTGCATGGCCGCTAAGCAGCGCCTGACGAAGGGCCGCAGCAAGGCGCGCCAGAAGAAAATGTATCAGATCGCGCAGCTTATAGAGATACCCGGACAAATGGACTCGCCGGTGTATGCTGTGGGTGGCACAACGGCGGCGCCCAGCGGCAGCAGCAGTGGGAGCAGTTCCCGAAGTGGCCATCATCGCCCCATATTCTCCACGGCCAATCGTGTGCCCGGATTCGCTGCTGTCTTAAGGAACAGCAACACTGCTGGTGTTAGTCGCACACAAATGGCCCAGAATCGCTCCATAGAGGGGTAAGTCTTCAGTAAACAGAACTAGAAATGGAACTTATTTGCGGTATCTCCCACAGCATTCGAAATGAAAGCGCTGGACGCTCACGTCGTCGCAGTCCCAATGGGACGACTCTAAGGGCGGACCCCTCAGATCGGGACAGATCGCCCAGTGTGAGTGCTGGGAGCCACAGTTCGTCGCAGTCGCGCGAGAACTCTCAGCCACGCAGCTCGGGCAACCGATCGCGTGAGAGCAGCCCAAGGATGCCCAGGCCGCGGTACATAATAAACCCCCAATGATTGAACCAAAAATTGACTTCGAATGGGTCTTGTTTTCCTTTCAGGTCAGAAGAGATACCCCTGGAGGACTTCCAACACTCGCGAAACAACAGCCCGCACTCGCGGGGGAATGCTTCGCCTGCCTCCCGCTCGCATACACCCGTCCGGGTGCTCCAGTACGAGATCTCTGTGCACAGTGGATCGCCCAGAGAACCTTCCCTGGTGGGCACGAATGCCTTGTTGAGCCAACTAAACGGTGTGCCCCTGGCCCGAGAAGTCCTGCCAGTCCAAAGCTCTGAGGAGACCTCATTCATAGGCAATGATGCGACTGACGGCGGAGGCGGTTCAGATAGCAGGCGAAAGGGCGCCATAGAAACGGTTTAAATTAGTTGTAAAGTTTAGTATTAACATTTAGATGGTTGCTTACATTTTATTATTCCAATTGATTGATATGGTGTGGTGGCACATGCTCTAATTTGATTTTTTGATTTAAATCGTTACAAATAAAAAGTTGATTTGACGAATTTAAGTTCAGCCGCGTTGGCAGCTCTACTCGTAAAAGTCAACGAGTTGGCATCACCAGCCAACAGCTGTGGCTTGTTTTTGTTTAATGACATAACCGCAATTTTGGTTTCGACACAAAAAAGAAATAAGTTAATGAAAATTGTGTTTAAATCAAAGATAATACTAGTTAGAGATGTCCCACAAGTACACGGAGCTCATTAAGCTCGGCACGCAGTATGCCCGGCGCATGAATTACCTCTCAAATCGCATTTTCGGTGAAGTGGCACGCACCACCAACGAAAAGTCAATGAAGGTTTGTCATTGCTTTTTTTTAAGCAACCAACGTGTTTACTAGTCTTTTAATATGCTTTCCAGGTGGTTCGCATGTTCTCCGAAGAGCCCATCCACAAACGGGACTATGTCGTGAACTGGTATCCACGGCATGTGGAGACGCATCTGCTGATGAAAAACCTGCGAGATTACGGCCTGTTCCGTGACGAGCATCAGGACTTCAAGGAGGAAATGAAACGTTTGCGCAAGTTGCGTGGCAAGGCGGCTCCCAAGAAGGGAGAGGGCAAGCGTGCGTCCAAGAAGTAGACATAAATAAAATACACAAAACAACCTTTTTATTAATCAAAATCAAACCTTAATCTATGTGATTACGGGTCAACAATTTGGCATTGCCCGCAAAGACAATTTCATCGTTTTGCCGACAATCGTATTCCGCGGTTGAGATTTTACGCGATTGCAGCAGGCGCACAGTCACCACTGTGTCGGTTTCTATGCGACAGGGTTTTAGGAACTTGAAGCTCTGTTCCAACACCACAGTGCCCGGTCCAGGAAGCTTCGTTCCCATAATGCCTGCCACAACGGCATTGAGCAGGGCTCCGTGCACTCGTCGCTCCTCTACGGGCAAGTCCAAGGTGTGTATGTAGTTGTGGTCCCCCGTAAACTGGGCAAACTGCTCCAGATCATTCTGCGTGAACCGTTTAACCACTTGGACCTGCTGCAGACTGGCTGCTGCTGGTGCACGGCTGCTCAGGTGGCGGTAAAATTGGCGGAACATTTTGTAGCTCGATTATCTCTGTGCGCCGAGCGAAGTCTTCCAGCAGCAGTTGACAGAGCTTCACAATTCGTTGGTCGTGGGACTTTTGCCGCCACTCTTGTACCCCTTTGAGCAGTGGGGGTGTCAGCAGGAGCTCCTTGTCTACTTGACCAGCGTTAAGGAGCTGATAGAAGAGCGCCAGACTATGGAGCACTATTTCCGGGTGATCTGTGCGTACAAACAAACCGCTGATGATGCTCAAGTGTTCCCTAATCAATTCGGCTGCAGCTTTATCTGCAATATAAAGAAATTATGCATCTTATGTAAAGAAAACTGTTTCCTTGTCATACCCAAGCAGATGTTACAGATAGCCGCAATTCCGTGCAGTTGAAGATTTTGATTTTGTACTTTTAACGATGCTATAAACACATCGAAGGCCTCTGCTTCATGCAGATGCGGCCAGTTGATCGGATCGTAGGCAAAATTGGCCAAATTCGCAGTGACCTGCTCGAGGGCCTCTGCAAAGCACACAAACACCGGAAGATGAGATACCAGTTCAAACAACAACCAAATGGACGACTCACCGACGTTGGTGGTCGTGTAGTATTCATCAACCAAGTGACCAATATACTCCCTTCGATCTATACCCTGGTCCGGTGTGCGTCGTTTCAAATGGCGGTGGCTGGAGAACATAAAAACGGAGCAATTCTTTCTTTTTTAATTTAAAATTTTGTAAATTTCCATTCACAGTAGTGATGACATTTTGCCATGCATTCCTGTACGCAGCGATTACAGTTATCGGGAAGAAGAAGCACAAGCCGCTACTATTTGAAATAGATTTTATTAAAGAAAATTTAGAGTTTTTGTAAAATGTATAATTTTAAATCATCTGTAGCTTTAGAAAGTTTTTATAGACCCTAAATATCCTGTTCTTGCTCTCCTTGACAGTTTCCATCGGAGGTGCTGGCAAAATCTGTGTCATTGGAATTCTTAAAGTGGCTAACGGCCGCGGCCACGGACTTCGGTGGGATGTTAAATAGTGGATGGGTGGGTAGCAGTTCGTTGATGGTGTCGCCCAGGACTTGTGGACAACTGGCGGACTCCGAGTGCTGGGCAATGGAGACGCCGCTTAGGGTATAGCATGTATGATAGAGATCTTGTGGTCTGCAATCGAGATAAATTGGAGATAAAAGATGTACAGCAAAGCAGGGCTCAGATTACTTACTTTCCCGGCTTGTCGATCAAACCTCCGTTTTGCTTCTGGCAGCAGATTAGAATGTACTCCTGCAGGGCCTCAACATCAAATAGAGTGTGCTCCATTTCCTTATCGCCGCCAGACAGCGTGGCCTGCGTTATGGGTATGGTGGCTCCTACCCAAAAGGAGTAGCAGCCATCGACCAGTTTATTCGTTCGACCCTGGAACCCTCCTTCGTAGCTCATCTGACGTAGCAGTGTCCAATGGAGCAGCGCCTTCTTGTTGCACTTGTGTGCCTCGTTCAGTAGCGCCAGGCCAGCGATGCCACAGAATGTGTAGCCCCCATGGGCCTCCAATTCGGGGGCACCGCCGAATCCTCCCTCGTACGTCTGGCACTTGGCAATCCAATCGCCGGTGCCGGCGAAAAGTTCCTTCATCACCAGATCGGGAAGGTTCAGCAGCTTGGCGCACGAGATGGCACAGTACGCACCGCGCACATCCGTCTCCCCATCTACATGGAGACGGAAGGAGCCATCCGGTTGACGAACACTGAACAGAAACTGGACAAGGGTCGGACGATCGATGGCGCGATAGGCACTCTTGGTGCCAATGATGCAGAGGCTGTTGACCGCCGCATATGTGGGCGCCAGATGGGCATACTGTCCTGGTCCACCGCCAAAGCCGCCCGTTGGAGCCCGGCATCTAGGAAGAGGCAAGAAGGCGAGAAGTTTTTAAGACAAGCAGAGTGGGAAAAAAAGCAACCTACTTGCTGAGAAACTGTACGACCCTATCGAGGGTTTCATCGTCAAAATTGAAGCTAAGTAACTGGGCCGCCTGCAGTATCCAGTAGACGCACCAGGGTCGACTGCTGTCCAGGCATTCGTAGTTCGAGGGCAACCGGCGCAGCATTGCATCCAGATAATACTGATGCTCTAGCCGGAAAAACTGGGTGAGCCGTGGATGGGTGGACTGCAATTCCTCGAACCGGTCGAAACATTTCTCCACCGAACTCTCTGTTTTTTGCTGCAAACACACATGCCATTCAGCTCTTATCTGTTTTTTTTTTTCTTTTAACCGCCTTGCCCGCGATTACTCACCTGCTCCCTGGACGTGGTTGTGGAGGACTTCTCGTCGTCCAATTTGTAGCTCTTCAATTGCTGGAAGTTGCGAAAGAGTAATTCGTCCTCGGAATACATGCTTCCGTTAGTTATTTGTAATGTTTGTAAATGAAATGAAATAAATAAAAATAATTATTCCGATTGAGAGATAAACAGCTGATCAGTGTGACCCTCATATACTATACGGTCTCATTTTCAAAATATATCGACGAATTATTCATTTTCCTCAATTTTGATATTCCGTCGAATATTATTAGCTATATAGAACATTTAGCCATGCCCACATAGTTTTATACGATTCATGAATAATTTTTCTTCTAGATTGGCCAATTGTTAGTCCTTGCTTTTATTGTATTTTGGCTAAAACAAGGCTTAAACAAAACAGTTCAACAAAAAAACAGTCGCAATGTTGCTGGTATTTGAAGACATGAGTGTATATGCATTTTTATACCCTATTTAATTAGTTTTATATGAAGATTAAACGTAATTTATAAAGAAATTTTCTTAAATTGACATATTTACAGACATATTCATGTATACCGCTTCAAAATCATTCAAAGCCGGTTCCGTTAATGTGCGATATACATATGTATTTAATCCTGTGGAAAAGGTTACCCAACCACATGAAAAAAGCTTATATGGATATATTATATGTGGTGTATATCAAATACATATTAAAAGTAACTTATCAATACCAAGTTTTAGTACCAGTTCAGTGAAATAATTATATATTTAAATATAAGATCTAAGAAAAAATATATATACTAAAAAAAATATGCACACAAATAAATATATGGAATTATTTTTAAATATATTTAAAATCAAATCTCAACTGCCTGCAAAGTCGAGCCGTTGACCGTCCGAGCATCCACAGAATCCATCAGGCAGAATTAATAGAAACCCTGAGCCAGGAGCGCAACAAGTACCGGGATCTTGCGTAGTCTTGGATCTTCTAGCGAAATTAACTTTTATCCCAGCTGCAAGATGAGGTAGCAAACGGTGTGAAACTACAAAAAAGACTGGATGAGACTGGGGGACCAGGGGGCCAGTCCCACCCAGTCCGATGGAGTAGTGGTTCCCAATTGTACCATTTGTTTCGAGAGCTGGTACTCGTCTTGGCCACATCGTATGATTTCGTTGAGGTGCGGTCATTTTTTGGAGACTCGTGCATTCGAGAGTATCTTCGGAGTGGAGGGTACCATTGTTCCGTACGCCGCCAGAGTGGTATCGTCTATATGAATCAATTAAATGAATGATATCAGTTCTACATTATACAGTGCTTTTAGACATATGTGTGTGTGCTGGCATATTGAAAATAAAGTATGTTTAATATTCATTAGAGATCCTCTATTAAATAGACTAGAAAACCGGAGAGTGAAACGTACCCGAGAGCGCTGAATTATAATAACTATAAGAATTGTCCATGAAAGTATTCAAGGTGATTCCCATCTATATACTGTATTGTTAGAGATTTGACGGAAAATAAGAAACCCTGCAGGGTAGAAATCGCTTTAAAACAGATATTGACTAGTTTCTGCCTTCATTGGAGCCTGGGATGACAAACATTTCCGTAATTCTATAATATCCTTTTACCTAGGGTAGAATGTTGCAGAATGTTGCCTATGTTGCCGGGTAGATTTCTTGGCACATGAGTTTGGACCATACAATAGAATGTTGCCTAAACATAAGTAGGGACCTTGTTGAGCTTAACAAGGACATTGTGGCGAGGAAAAGTCTCTCAACAAAGAGAGGATAACCTATCACAAAATAGTTCCCTCAAACTTGAGCGCCAAAGTCGAATTGTTTGAAAGTGAATGAGTGACGACATGAATGAAATCCAGTTGAATGATGCACAGAAATACGATTTGACAGAGCGAAAATTCCAAAATCCTGCGTATGGATGGATTTCTATACCCCTTGTTCTTAAATATACATTTAAAAATTAAACTTATTAGATTGATTGATATTGACATACAACGTTAGACACCGATTGGCCATAATAGATGGAAAAGTGTGGGGTAGAAGTAGTAGTAAAAAAGAACAAAGTAGAAAGGCAACTATAAACGGTGCGACATCAAACTCTCTGAGGTAATGATTTCAATGCGGTCTTCGTCTATCTTGGGCCTCAGTTTCTTAGCCAATTGGTCGGTTGTCGTCTTGGACTTCCTGATTTTGCCCAACAGATCGAGGAAGCCGTAAACCAAAAAGCACACAAGCAAATATGCCCCACCGGTGATGGCCACCTGAAAGACAACTGTCAATAAGATCTGAAAGAATTGTTAGGCAAAAATTTAATTTTGGAGGCGGCAGGAAATGCGAACTTACGATTGCAAAACTCCTTAGAATCACCAACAGCAACCCGTTGGAGTCCACCTCGGCAAGCCATGTCAAAAGGGGCTGAGATCCGGATGAGACGCTGCCACTGTCCGGGGTGAATTCTTCGTCGGCCCGCAAAGGCAAGTACCAGTCGTAGTAAAACTGCTTAAACGGCGAAATCTCAGCTGTTGACTTTTTTCCGATCTGCTTGTCTGTGGACTCTGGAGCATCTGGTGAAAAGTTTTCGTGTAGACTTTGCAAACAATTGTTGAAATCAGCAAAAGATCGTCTGATGGATACTGAACATTTCTCGTCGTTTGATGGGCAGGTAGCGGGTCTGGGCGTTGGAGTAGGTTTTTCGCACTTGCCTTTTGGCTGGGTGTCCGGTTTGGCATGCTTGCACTAACAAAAAGAGGAAAAAAAGTTGGCAAAAAGGAAATATAGCAATTTCTTGAACAAAGGCCCCGGCGAGATTCGAACTCACGATCTCCTGTTTACTAGACAGGCGCTTTAACCAACTAAGCCACGGCGCCATGTGGCCATGTTGTGATAATTATGCAACTTCTACGTCGCGAGCTTGGGTGCAATGGTTTGGTTTGTGTATTATCTGTTCAGTGTCATACATTTCAGCTTTTGTCGATAACAATATATAGTTACATGGTGGTAAGTATTTTTGTCATCTCTAGAAGTTCGATAAGTATTATCGTTATCTCTAGAAACATTTTGTTGGAGGCAGATGGCGCTCGTGTTTTAGTTGGTTAGTACCAATTATTGATGACAGATGTCGTAACGCTTAAAAATGATCCAGGTCCAAAGAAGACCCATGATTTCGCGATGGGGGAATCCTGATCTCTGTCCACGCGTGATTTATACGCGTAAGATGTTAGTGTTATATGTTTTTAGAAGGATTGATTCAGAAAATCATTTCAATTAAATTTAGCAAAAACAATTAAACAACAAAAGCATAGCAAAGGGGGGCGGGGGTCTTCGCCCTTGTCCATGCCTGAATCTATATCTTTCAATACAGCACGGACAGTAAACCAACAGTAAGTCCAGAGGCATTTACTCACCCCAGGAGGCGGCCGCAATTCCAGGATATCATTAAACATTCCCTGCCTGATCTGCTCGAGATCCTCGTCCGTAATGACATTGTTGGGATCCACACATTCATTACCATAGTAGTCATAGTACTCGCCAGGATTCGAGCATCTCGGCACCGGCTCGCACTGCTCCGTGGTGTAGTTGTAGAAGCTGCGCTGGCCGAAGTAGCGCTCCTCACAGATGACTGGCAGGCAGTTCATAAAGTATTCTTTGTCCCAGTTCTTGCAGTCAACAAAGTCCTTTCGCCTGCGTAGTGTACGATTTTCGGGGTCCAGGGTTTCGAATCGAGTGTCAAAGTGCAGCAGTTGCTTCACTGCCGCCGGGTGTGGCTCGCCCGAGGGACTCAAAGCATAGATCGCAATGGGACAATAGCCCACACGATTGTACAGCGACTGTTGTTGGGTGGTTGGTGGGGAAGAGGTTTAACCGTTAAAGAGAATTTTATGAGTGCCTTTCGATATACCCACCACAGTCGGCCACACCAGGGAGACGGTTTCACGTTTTCCAGGCTCCAAGCTCCCAAAGTTACCCCCGTAGATGGGACCCACTTGGACCTTTTCGCCTTTAGTGGTGTTTACCGTACATGGCCCATCCGAGGACACAATTAAGTCGAATGTTAGCTTCCTCTCACCGTTGTGCCGGTTGACCACCGTCATGTCTGGACAGGACTTAGAGCTGAAGAGTGGGTCAAGAATCAGATGATGTCCTTACCAAAGATCAAACCAATGTCATTCTCCCGCGGCACACGCACTATCATCTTGGTAATGCATAGCTTTCCATGGATGCTACGGCTGTTGAGTAGAATGAAATGAACCATTAGATATTTTAACATTTTTTGATTGAATTCGCTCTGGGACTGTTCAAGTGAACAGAATTTTCAGGATATTTCGAACGTTTGTTGCTTACCCATTTTTATGCCTTTTTTAGTCCTTGGATCAGTGGATGATACATATCTGGTTAATTCCAATCGGTAATGATGGTCTAGAGAATGCTTATGTCCCTATAAAAGAATTCGCTGAATATTACAACCCCATAGCACATCCATTTGCTCCGTCGAAAGGGGTTCCCTAATGGCTCCTTGCTGTTTAATTAAGTGTAATTTTAGTGCCAACGCAACCCCTAAGACTGGTCCTGGGCCAGCTCGGACCTCGTCCTGGTGCTGGCTGTGTACATGGCCGAAGTTTTCTGCATCCATTGCAATTTATGTTTTAATCATCAAATGCGACCCAATTAATCAACGTATGTAGCTGGGCTTAATTTATGCGGCGGAACAATGTTTTGAAGTAACCCGACTCGACATCACACGACAGGTGACATTTCCCAGCAGAAGCAGAGAGTACCACTCGAAGCGATCGGTGGATATGTTGCATATTCATAGGATTGAGCCAGTCTGCACAATAATTTATTCCAAAATTCAAAACTAATTTGACAGGAAATAATTAATTTGGGATCGAAAAAATGGCAAAAAAAATAAAAGTGCTGCAGCAGCCAGCAGTCCCAATTAAAATTATTTCGCTTTCATTACCCAATGAAGCAGCCGTAATAAAAGTCTTAACCAAAAAAAGAGAGAGAGAGAGACCCCAGCAAAGCACAACCCAGCAGCAGCAGCAGCACATCCAATCCCAGAGACAAAGACAACGAAATAAAAGGCGAAAACTAAGCAAAAAAGTTTAAATAATGAAATCACTTCGCACCATCTCGAAATTGCTCATTAACATTTTGTGTTTGCGATATCAACTTGTGAAAATCACAGGGCCAGCAACAGACTCCGGCTCCGGGACTCCAGGCCCAGGCCCAGGCCCAGTCCGAGGTCCCAGCAAACACCAGAGCCAGACCCAGACCCAGATGCAGACCCAGACTCTTAGGCAGCAGCAGCAGCAGCTACTTGGCTTTTATTTATTATGCCATGTGGTTTTTGTTGGTAGTACGGTACGTACTGCTGCTGCCTTTCCTGTAGCTGTTGCTGTTGCTGGAGCTGGAGCTGGAGCTGCTGTTGTCTCTTGATGTTGTCGTTGTAGCTGACTCTTATTAGTTGGGTCAGTCTGTCTCCTCATTTTTTCGTTTTTTTTTTCTCCTCCTCCAAGTGGAGGAGGTGTGAAATCTGTTGTACTCTCCGTTCGACTGTCCCCTGGCCGGACGTCCAAGTGCAGCAAACTCTTGGTCTGTTTTCGTCTTCGGGTCGTGATTTGTCTGCGAAAGACACAAACAACTTCTTGGGGTCTCAGCAATTTTTCTAAAGGTCGTTTGCTCTGTCTTTACATTTGCCTTTACTCAATGAAATTGGCCCAGGTCCCAAGGGACACGGGGAGAAAAGATTAGGGAAGTTTATCGGCATTGATATCCCTTTTCTTTCGAATTCTTCTGCTGTCCATCTTTCAGGCACTTTGAAAGAAGATTCTTTCTTCTATATGTTCCATCTATATTCCATAATCCACCCTAATTTAATGCATAATACTATATGACTATATCTTATCCTAGATCATAATGACAATCGTCTATCGAAACAATTGATCCAATCCCTAGAATCCCTAATCCCTTAAATGATCATAATTTCCTTTGTTAGCCAACTTTTTCGCTGAGTGTATGGCACAACCCAGCGAAAAACCGAAGTCAAAGTCAGAGATAAGCCCCGCATTGACTTGGGTGTATTTCAGTAGCCATTCGATTTATGTTAAATAAGCTGGAACGTAAGCTCTGTTTGTTGTAAAATACCAATTGCCGGACGACCAGCCTCCACAGAGACAGACAGAGAGAGACAGAGACAGAGAGAGTGCGACCGAGGTATAAATATATAAAAAGAGATAGATGGAGAGCTGTGCGAGTGGGAGAGCGATTCTTTGGGGATTCACGTTTCTTCTTCATCCGTTGGATTGCAGTCGTTGGATTTTCTTGTTGCTGTTGTCGTTGGCACTGAATCAGATTTCTTAATTTAATTGGCTTTATGCAAGAAATTCTTCTCGCTTTTCTTAGCCTGGCTCCGATTTTTATAGACAAACTGTCTGCCGTGTATAGTACATGTGTACCCACACGTATGTACCTTCATGTCCAGCTCCAAGTCCAAGTCCTGCTACTGGTCCTGCTTCTGGGGCCGGCCTCATTCCATCTTCCGCAGAACGTGGGAATCATCATCATCTAGCTGTTTGTGGTGTGTGGTGTGTGCCTGATGCAAATGCAAAACAGCTTAACCCAATTTTTTGTTGCTTCTACACCAAAAAAAAATAAATCAATAAAAAGAAACAAAAGAAAATTCAGCACGTAATTGCAAGTTATGAGCAGTAGTCTGGTGGCCAGTATAAAATGAAAATCGTTGAAGTTTTCCATCATCGCGTGCAGCGTTTTAAGAACAATTGTTGGGCATTTAAGCATAAATGCAGGCGAAAAGTTCGCGTCTCGCGGTGAATGGTTATTATACCTGGTACTCGTTGTGGCTGAGGGTATATATTGTAGCCAGTCAAAGCGTTTCTCTTCAAACAGAGTGGCCAGAATGGCTTTGGGAACATCTAGAACACAGATTCTGTAGGTTTCATCGTCCTCTACTCGGACGCACAAGCGAATTCTGCAAAAAAGAATACCCGACAACTTACAAAACAACGTATATTGCGTGTGCATGACAGGCCACATTGATGCTCGACTCAGTTCAAATAACCTGCGCACCAAAGCACTAGAGGGTATCATATAGTCGAAATATAGACCACATACTTCTTAGCGACTCTCGTTAGAGTGAATCGGTGGGTGTGTGTGTGTGTGTGTGTGTGTGTGGGAGCCACTGCGGCTGTGTGGGACACTTAATCATCAGCGTGAAATGAAGAGAAAGAAAGGCCCGAGACGAGGCCAATTGTGCATTTGGCTTCCACTCTCCACACTTGTAATCCTTTGTGTTTGTGTGTGTGTGTGTGTCTGTACATATATAATTAAGCCATAAATTCTGTTTTTATGATTTTCCACAAAGTTATGAATTTATGAGGAGCACCAGCACCAGCACCAGCACCACTCACTGCACCGCACTGCCACTGTGGCAGTGCCTCGCATACATAAACAATAATTTGCGGGAAAAACGGAAGTGGAATTTAAATGCGCGCGCATGCGAAATGGAAGCTCCACTCCTCCGCATCCCACTCTGGCACAACCCCTCCATCACCATCCAGTGCATCCAAGACCAATCGTGGGCACCGGCACCGGCCATGTTTGGGCCATAAATGTCGAGCACTTTGCCCAGACCTCGTAAATTTAACGCTTTTAAGTTTTATTTCTTTTAGTTTTTGCTCTCTTCTGCGCTCTCCCTCTTGATGGATGGCTGAAGGTGGGGCACCCACGGGGAGAGAGAGGGGCCTAATAAAATTTAAATATTTATTGTACTCTATATTTTGTTGCCATGCAAATTTCGCTAGGGTTCAAAATTTATATACGGCTATCCATTTTCGTGGTCTCCCGTTGGCTTCGCAAAAAAGTACACAAAATTTCCAGTATTAATTGCATAAAATTGTGGACTGTCGCTGGATATTACGGGTATGAATATCCTTCCCCAACAGGCAAAGAGAGAGAGAGGGGAGGGAAGGGGAGTACTCCTCACTGGGTCAATTAGCATAATCGCTTTTGAAATTGCAACCCAACGTTAAAGTCGAGTACCTTGAGGCGCTACTACTGACGCGTATCTTGACGTTCTTAATCGCCCCCTCTGCCATCGCCATCGCCATCGAGACTCGAGGGTTGTCAAGATCGTACAGTTCTCGATATATGTACCTTTTCATATAAATTAGTAGTTTGGGGGCCTGCAAAAAATAAACAAAAAACACACACACACACAGTATTAATATAATAATTACGGCAATTACGCAAAATGCTCATGACTGCTCGTGTCATGGCTGCTTCCTAATGCGAAAATAACGTCATTAATTTTGGGCCAAGGAGCGAGAGCAGAGCCGCTCTATTCAACATGATCTAGGCCGCCGCACCCTTGGGGACATTCACTGAATACTACACTGCAATTATTATAGCCCTTTGTCACTTTTTGTATTCTCTGAACCAACTTTTCTTTACTCTATATAGAGGGTAAGAAGAGAGCTTCTAGCTATCTAAAACAACGCTGTTTACGCTTTCGCAGTGAATACCATTTTTCCATTGTGAATGACAATTATTCAGAGTTGCATTTGAAAACCATCGGCTAACTATCGCATAGAAACGTGCGGTTTAGGAACATCCAAAATGGATGGTGAACTAACTGGGAAATGTTCGGAACGGCAAAACCTTACGGACCATCCCCGAAATGGATGGTGGATGGTCGTCAGTGTGAATAGCCTATAAGGAACAATAAATTCCTGAAATCAAAACGAAGAGAAATTTAAAAAAAAGGTTCAAGATGATACTTATTCGATTTCGTCTGGTTTTACCATCTCATCTTTAGTATAGATATTCATAATTAAACATATGATTTATCTATTATTTTCTGGAGATTTCATACTCTACGATGACTAATTCCAAGTCTTAGCATTGAAACCCCTGGCCAATTAAAAGCGTATAAGCAAGTCACCTTTCGTTGGCTGACCTGTAAAATATCCCTTGCGAGTATCCTTTGCCCAGAATATTCAAAATGACTTGTCACTAGCGCGGCATGCGCTAAATGCGGCAGGTGCAATTTGGGGAGACACTGAGACGTTGCGACTTCCTGCGACTCCACTGATGATCGTTGACGGTGTTTTTGCTTTCATAAAATTGCAATATTAATGCGGAAAATCTTTGGGGAGGGAGCAGAGCAGAGCAGAGCAGCAGGGCAAGGTGTGCACCGGGCCATCAATTGGTGCTCCTTCGTTTGCCTTTTTTGTTTTTTGTGTGTGCCCTGAGAGC